CACATCACCAGCTGTTGTGAAAGCCCTCTAGGGTAAGTGAAGACTCCCCTAACTCTGGGTCCTGTGACAGTCTCTTCCTGACATTCACAGCTCTTGTTTTCCCTGTGATCCTGTTGTGTGTGGTGAACATACTGTGGGACTACACCCTACCAACGTGTTATCGGGATCTACCAGCTAGGTTGATTTGTAAAGAGTATCAGTGCAGTCAAGTATAAATGTTCACCCTTGTACAGTACTAATTTTATTATTTTGATTTATTAATGATTGCCAGTGGTAATGGCCATACGTGTTCATGTGTTTAGTGATAACTTTGTATTGATAATTTTACACAGAAATGCTTGCATATTTTTTCCTTCCTACTATTTATACTGTGTTGAGTTTTGTCATGTCAACTGTGTTAGTGTTGTCATATATTCAATTAAACCACCAAAGGAAATAATGATTAAACTTGGTGAACTTTAATTACTGCCAGAATTGAGGAAATTCAAACAGATTGGCTTTTCTTACATACTGTAATTGGGCATGAGCATTACAAGGTATTATAATAAAATAATTCCCCCCCCCCAAAAAAAAACATAGTCCAACTAGTAAAGAAAACCTTTAGATTTTAAGATTAAAAGTAAACTAAGAATAAAAGTCAAGAAACTTTGACATTCGCCTGTCTATTGCTTATTTTCGTTAACACTTTACTTCCTCTCAATAATAAAACTTGGTAACCGACAAGTTTGTAGGAGGAAAAAAAAAAAAAAAAAAACTTTCCTCTTTACCTTTTATATTTCAAATTACTGAATTCTACAACACAAGAAAATAAATCGGAAATTCTTCAATGAGAAATCTGAACACTTCAATAAAAATATAAACTAAAAGTATTGTATTCAAACTAGTATATGCATAATAAAGGTTGATTTAATAATAGTGCTGTATTACAATGGGACTTAATACCTATATTACCCTACAATAATACAACTTATAAAACAATAATACATTTACAGTAGCTTCAAGGTAATCCATTTGTTGTTAGGAGGATTAGAAACCTTTCTTCTTCATTTAATCTTCAAATTACCTGTACAGTACTTAATTTCCCCCCCCCAAAAAAAAATGCTTCATGCAGAATATCTTTATTAAGAAAGCAGAACATCCAAATCAAAATATAAAATACACCTACTGCATTTAACCTTTAAATTAACCCTTGCTTACTAAAAGAAAAAAATATTAAATGCCACCACACTATGAACAAAACTAACACTTATGCCTAAATGTGGTGTGCTGAACAAATGAGAATATAATGATCAAGCAATAATAAAAACAGGTGGCAACACTTCTATTCCCCCTACCTTCCACCTGTTCACAAAAACACCTCCCCTCCCATTGTTCGTGGCTCTGGTTAACTGTTCGGGGAATTTCATTACACCACTGTATTCAGTGAGCTAAACTTGTCCTTTTCATAAAATATTTTATAACTTTACCCATTCTTAAAATCCACATTTTTCACCATCATTTGTTTAAGGGTTAGAGATAAACTTAAATAGGTATTGATATACTGGTATTCCTGAACAGTTTTAGATTTAACCCTGACAGGTAATGGTGGGTCCTTGCAACCCACCCACCATCTGTGATTTCCAAAGTTCGCCAGGATGCGCGCACAGCCCACGCATCCCCAGACTTCATCGAGGTAAGGTGTGTCTCAGTTGCCTCTCTATTTTTTTCCAGTTATATGGTAGGTATGGGTCCTAACGTCCCACCAAAACCTTTTACGGGAAGAAAATTATCACCGATAACTGGTTTACATCAGTTCAATTGTCAGAGGACATGCTCACAAACTGTGGCCTGATTACTGTTGGCACATTGCATTCAATAAGCTAAGAAAAAATGAAAGGGAAGATTTCCAAGCTCAACCTATTAGGATAAAACGTCTAATGGATGAAACTAGGGTTCCTCACATATTGTGTCCAGTTAACAATCTTCAGGAATGGTTAACCAGATTCCCTAATAGAGGCCCTTACGTTTTCTCATCAAGGGATGGTAAGAAATTATCTCCCAGTCAATTGACAAAATCCTTATCTCAATTAGTAAATCAAGCAGACCCTGGCAAGAAATTTTTGGCACGACACTAGGAAATATGCAGGGTCTGTGGCCTTTCAGATCAAGGAAATGGGCTTTTGGAGATCTTCAAAAAATTTCAAAGACAGCTATCTTCATCTATCTCTGAGAGATGCTTCAAATGTGGTGGTGCTGGGTTCCCCTCCCCCATCTAGTCAATCTCCACTACCAGGACCTTCTTCCTCATTAGAATAAAGTCAGTATCCTTTTTGAGTAAATTAACATTTTACCTTCCGGTAAATGTTCCTAATTTTGGAAATGTTCAAAACGGTTTATAATATAATCAGGACCTCAGTCAGCGGAGCCTTGTATGCAAAGTCGCCTCCCTCTCCACCTCCTGCTCGGGTATTCTTACTGACGTTGCATTTAGCTTGAAAAAAAAAGCTGGTTTTTTCTAAAAACCAGTTTTTGTGATATAGCTCGAATGCGACGTCCATAACCCACCCATCTCCACCCCTAGAGAGTTGACTTTTAATTACTGCTCTCTCTGAGGCAAGAGATGAGGTTCGCGTTGAGCATAATGGCGAGATGAAGGAGACTTTGAAAATAGCAATTAAATGCCAGGTAGCGACGTGTCCTCCTAATATTACTTATTAAGTTATTATTAGACGTTTTAATTGCCTGTATGTTGGCCTGGTGAGTTATTGCTAGGCATTAACATACCTAAGTAGCATTGCAGATCGTCGCATTCGAGCTATATCACAAAAACTGGTTTTTAGAAAAAAGAAAAAAAACAAAAAAAAAACACGGCTTTTCCTTAAATAATCCCTGCTAAAATGGGGCGTGCGTCTTATATGCCATAAAAATACACTGAATTTTTTTTTTTTTTTTTTACATCATTATCGTTTTTATACATTACATTTGTCATAAGCAAAATAAATGTACAGCACTTTCTGTTCATTCCTTTTTTTTTAAATTAAAATTTTTTTTAAACATGTATTTCTTTCATAAAAATTGGATACAATACATTGGTGGTGTATTCGTTTATAACTTAAAATGGGGGTGTTTTTGGAAAAATTTGCTCTAAGGTGGACAAACTCTTATACGAGCCACCTTTTCCCCTCAATTAGTATGCCTTAGGGAAGTTTTACTGTACCTTCACAAGCTAAGTCTCAAAACACTCCCCTTTAGCTACTTTCTCCTTTTCCTGTTGTGTTAGTTGGCAGGTACTTTAATGCTGTATTTCTAACCTCTCTCTCTTTTCCTCCAACTTCAGTTTCTTTCCGATACCTGTCTATTTTCATGACAAAAGCAGGGATCATTCCAGGATTCACAGTCTGTAACAACAGAAAAAGATAATTTCACTGTATATGCTAAAGCTAAACCATCATCATTTAAACATACTGTACATGTACACAGTCTAAGAATCGAGCATCTTCCCATGTTTTGGCGTATATATAACAAAGGTTGAACCATCTGAAACAAATTTAAATGAATTAATTCAAGGTAAAAAATGTGAGTAACAAAAAATTATCATTAAAAAACAAAAAACATTAATCAATAATAATTAAAGCTTGTGTAGAAGGCTGATTTCCTCTATGAAGGAGAGGAAGTCCCATCCCACATTAACCACTCCCCTCCCAGCACCAATGAGAGATGGTAAGACCCCCCCCCAACCCATGACATATTAGAGGAAATGGTGAGGCCTAGCATATCTATTTTAGAATTTGGCAGAATGATTGCATCCTGAAATGTGACTGGTGGTAGACCATCTAATTTGGAAAGTGTAAATGGTAAATATACTGTCTTTTATTACTACAGTAGGTCCCCACTTAATGCTGGGTTACGTTCCTGAACGCAACGTTATACGAAGCCAGTTAAGTGGACCAATTTTCCCCATAAGAAATAGATAAAATATGGGAGTTACATTCCTGAGCCTCCCTTTGCCCCATGAAATACATTACATTACATAAATTCAAAGCTCCTTGTGTGATGCTTGTATGCATTACTATATTCACATTCATTGAGAATTTATAAGAGAAAACTTAAAACTACTCTACATGACAGATAAATAAATACTACTAGGTAACCTTGGTTGGCAGGCGCTCCGACCCAGCTGTCATAATAAATCAACTCCCTCCGACTTCCGGTAAGGGCGACCTGGTTATATAGGCTTATAGTTTTTATCTCATAAAATGGCACAGACTAAAGTTAACAATATAAATTGCATTGCTGGAATCCTTGCAAAGCAGCAAATTTTATGAATTTAGACATCATATATTTTGCACGAGATAAAAATTTTAGTCCCTTAAGTACATCAGGATCTCAAGTTTAGCGAGTTTTAGATTCATGATCCATGTGTTTCGTGTTTCGCGTCACTTTTAAAATTTCCAGCCTCTCACGAATAGCAATTTTCATTTCCAGTTTCACGAGTCATTGTGCCATACCCTGTCAAATGCTTTGGAGATGTCGAGGGCCTTGACTAAAGTTTCCCTATAATCCCTAAGAAAGGGTGACCAAAGATAGGTGCAGTAGGAGAGCAGATCACCATTAGATCTCGCCTGGCAAAAGCCATACTGGTGATCCAACAAATTAGAAAGGCATACAAGGGGATGATTAATAATGACTACTGCACTGCCTGGCACAATTGAAGAACTGACTTGTACATACAATAAACCCCCGATAACTCGGCACATACAGGGCTCTGGGCTTGCCGAATTATCCCAAATTCCGACTTATCGAGGCACTTTCCCCCCTCCTACAAAAATACCCCCAAAAAATAATTGACCCAAATATGTTTAAAGTGATTACTAAATGTCAAAAAAGTAACACTTACCAGCACTGCAGGCAAAGAATAAAGCTTCATAGTAGGTGGCACAGATGCATGGTAGGTGATGCAGGTGGCCAGATATGACGAGATTTTCCCAGATAATTATATATATTTCGGCATTTCCCGAGTTATACCAATATATTCCGAGACCATATCCATGTCGAGTTATATGAAATTCCGAGTTATCAAATGCCAAGTTATCGAGAGTTTACTCTATTATTATGAATTTCCATTTTTTTTTATTTCTAGTAAAAAATAACTTGGATCACAAATAGTCACTATAATATGCAGAAAATAGTCATATAAAGAGTGAGAAGAGTGAGTGTGTCAAGCAAGTTGAATGCCAACAGGAAAATTTTTAACACAAGGAGAGCACGAAATTGGTTGCAAACGCGTACATGGGTACATCGCTCGTTGGAGGAGAGACTAAACAAACATGGCTACTGTATGCAGATCCTGGGTGTTCTGTCTTGTAACGTCTGCCTTGTACAGTATTTTCTCGATTTAACAAACTAATTCGTGCCACCGATTTATTCAATCGATATTTCTGCTAAATTGAGCTCTCAGTCAACTAAGTATACACTAGAGCACCTTACCTTTGTCTTCGTTCCAGACATCTTCAGAGGCAACTGAATTTACAGGGATGGAATGTCAGGTCACCCTTTCTTGGGTGGGGGGATTAGTGGGTCTTATGACCTTGAGATGTATTGAATAAAGACAAAAGCTATAATATTTTCAGGGAGATTAAGATAAGTATAAGTATAAATGAGCAAAGTTGTATCCCTTCAACATTACGTCCCGTAACTAAAATATGGAGCGAGAAAGCAGAAAGGTGTGGGCAATTAGAGATGGAGTGGTAACATGCACTGTGTTGCCAAGCGCTCCTCAACAGCTGAAGTTTATCTCTCCTCCAGGCAGGTGCACAACATGACCATCACTGAATGAGTGTTATCTTTAATTCGTGTGTGTGTGTGTGTGTGTGTGTGTGTCAAGAACACACCAACATCACATACACACACCTCATACACACACTCTCCAACATTTATTAATATATATTCTCATATGATCAACCTCTTATGGTGTATGTTTTATCACTGATAATATAAAATATTAAATACAGTGGTCCCACGGTTAACGAACACAATTCGTTCCAGAAGGTTGTTCGTTAACCGAAACCATTGTTTCAATGGGATTTTGGGTAATTGGTTCCAGCTCACCGAAAATTACATGCAAACTAAAAAAAAAATGCAGTAAAGTACACTTACTTTGAGGTGTGTATGTAGAAGGCTCCTGGTTAATGATGATGATGATGGGAATTAGAAGTGGGGGTGGAGGAGAAGGGAGAAGAGAAGGAAGTGGGGGTGGAAGAGAAATCATCCCATGCTTGATACTGTCATTTCACCCATGAAATTTTAAGTTCACTAGGTGTAATTCAAGAGTATTTTCTTTAAATCAACACTGCACTGCACTTTATATTGTCAATATGTTAAATAAATTTCAGAATGACCAATAATTGTACTGTAAAAACATAAAAATACTCTGTGTTCAAGAGACCCACAAGCAAGATGTTTCCTCCACTGAACAAAGACACAAACTGAGGCCTTGGTGGGTGAGTGAAGTGGCTGATGGGCACACCAAAAACTAGTTCCCTGTACTGCAATTATGTTAAATAAGTGTTAAAAAAAAAAAAAATAAAAATAAATAAAAAATAAATAAATAAATATAAAACTTGGAAAATTATTGAATACCTAGTACAACTTGATATTTACTCCAATTTTAACGAATGTAAGCCCTAGAACCGATTTCTGTATTGGCAGACTAATCTTCCAGCTGGTGAGCAAGCCAAAGCGTGTCAAAACATTTTCGCAAAAATTTCGTTAACCGAATTTTTGTTCATTAACCGAAATGAAGATTCTTATGGAAGGTAATTCGTTAACCAAAATTTCGTTAACCGAGGCGTTCGTTAACCAAGGGACCACTGTACTACCACAGTAGAATGTCGATACGAGATGCGTTCCAAGAGAGGTCGCTTTAAACCGAATTTGCACTAAATCGAAGTGTTGTTTCAATGGAATAATTTAGTTTGGTACTTGAAACACAAAATCCTAAAAAGACTGAGTCTACCCAGATGCACCTCAGCCCATCTCCTAGAATAAACAAACATTGTTCTTTTGTAGTATTATGTTAAAACAAACACTCATAAATCAACACAGCTAAAATTAAGGGATGCAAAATGGTCTGCTTACTGGCTGGGAAGATGGGGGGGGGTGTGTGTGATATGTTGACAGTTGATGCCAAGGTCTAGTGCATATTTATTTATCTGTACTAAGAACAACAAAGTTTTTCTCTTATAAAATGTCACTGAACTGACCTGGGAGAATATAATTAATATTGCTGGAATTCTTATAAGATAGTGATTAATTTTAATGTAAACATGCTATAGCTGCATTAGACATACAGATTTTGGTTTTAATTTAAGAATTTTATTAAAAGAGCAAAAATTTTTATCTCCTGTGCAAAATATATGACTTATATTCAAATTATTCGCTGTCTTGCAAGGATTCCAGCAATACAAATTATATTCTCCTAACCTTAGTCTGGGACATTATATAATATAAAAACTTTAAGCCTAAAATACCAAACCCTGGTTGAGAGGGTGGGGGGAGGGAGGGGAGGGAAGTGACAGTGAGATGTTCGACAGTTGGCGCCAAGGTCTAGTGAAGTATTTATTTGTTAACTTACGTCCTTTGGCGCAAGTTTATGTTTTTTGCTTATACAATGTCACAGAAGAGACCGGGGAGAATATAATTTCCATTGCTGGAATTCTTATAAGAGTGATTAATTTGAATATAAACATGCTATAGTTTGCACTAGAAAAAAAATTTAATCATCATTTAATACATTATTTTGTGTACATGTACAGTACAGCTTTGCCCTTAGGACAGTGTAGCATGCCCAGAGGAACATTAGGCACAAATTTTAATATATGTTGCACCAGATTGACTCGCGCAAAATAGGAAAGATTCGGTTTAAATTAAAACTTTGTCCTTAATTGTGGGTGTCGCTTTAAATCAATAATCTTAAATTGAATCGCTTTAAATTGACATTCTACTGTACACCCAGTCCTCGCTTAACGTCGTGGCTACGTTCTTGTAAAACACAACGTCAACGGAATCAATTTTCCCCCATAAGAAATATATAAAATCCGCTAGTTATGTTCCCCAGCTTTCCTTTGCCCCATAAAATACATTACATATACAGTGAACCCTTGCTTTATGCGGTTTCACTTTACGCGTTTCTACATTTACATGGTACCCTGCCAGAACCGGAATTCCCACTTTACGCGGTGCATCTACTCATATATGCAGGTGAAGTATAATTTTTTTTTATTTAGCTCATAAAATTCATACAAATTATCCAGCCAGAATATAATTTACATTGCTGGAATTCTTACAATTTGATGATCATTTTGAATATAAGCATCATAGATTTTGCATTAGACACACA